GTAACCAGTGCCTTTCAACCTGGTTCAGGTTCAGACAACCTACCAGGGTATTTACGAACAGCACAGGAATGAAATCATCCACATGTATTGATCACATATTTACTAATGCTGCAGAAATCTGCTCTAATGCAGTATCCGCATCCATCGGATGTAGGGATCATAATATGGTAGCCATATCTAGGAAAGACAGAGTTCCAAAGGCTGGCCTAATATAGTGTATAACAGATCATACAAGAGGTTTTGTAGAGATTCCTATGTTGCAGATGTAAATAATATTTTCTGGTCTGTTGTGTGTAATGAGGAGCAACCAGACGCTGCACTTGACGCATTTATGAAATTGCTTTTTCCAGGTACTAATAAGCATGCACCCATTTAAGAAAATTACTGTTAAATCCCTGTGGATTGATGATGAATTGAAAAATTGTATGCTTGAGAGGGACGAGGCGAAAATAAGTCTGGCTACACAGCTGATCGTCAAACGTAATGTAAATTGAGAAATAATGTGACTAAACTAAACAAAAAGAAGACGCTGTACTATGAAACAATGATATAAAGAATGATCGTAAAAAGCTTTGGAACACCTTCAATGACATTTTGGGCCAAAAAGGCGAACTCGGCTCCGTCCTTCATTGAATCAGCAGACTCATTCGTCACAAAACCCACTGATATTGCCAACTACTTGAATTATTTTTTGATTGGCAAGATTAGGAAACTTAGGCATGACATGCCAACAACAACACTCTAAACCTACCCTGTCAATTATTATCTGAGGATGATAATGGACTATATTGCCACTCCTATTTGCCATCTCTTCAATCTAAGCCTACAGGAAAAAAAAAATTCTATGTTGCACAGCAAGATATTTACGAGCAATTTAGAGCAGACCGAAATGGCTTGTCAACTTGAGCTAGCTAACATTAGCCAGCTAGAAAGCTAGGTTAACTAAGAAAACATGCAGTAATTCAACATTGACAAGCAGTAAAGATACTTATACTGAACAAAAATATAAACGCAACATGTAAAGTGAAATAAGATTGCCGAAATTGTTCCATATGCACAAAACAAGTATTTCTCAACTTTTGTGCACGTCGCTGTTAGTGAGCATTACTCCTTTGCCTAGCTAATCCCTCCATCTGACAGGTGTGGCATATCAAGAAGCTGATTAAACAGCTTGATCATTACACGGGTGTGCCTTGTGCTGGGGTTAACAATAAAATGCCACTCTGAAATGTGCAGTTTTGTCACACAACACAATGCCACATACAGTGCATTCGGAAAGTATTCAGACATCTTTACTTTTTCCACATTTTGGTACGTTACAGCCTTATTCTAAAATTGATGAGGAAAAAAATTTATGTAATACATTTTAGACTAAGGCTGTAACGTAACAATGTGGAAAAGTCAAGGGGTCTGAATACTTATGTAAATAAGGTATTTCTGTTTATTTTTAATAAATTTGCAAAAAATTCTAAACCTGTTTTTTGCTTTTGTCACTATACACAATACCCCATATTGACAAAGCAAAAACAGGTTTTTAGAAATGTTTGCAAATGTATTAGAAATAAACAAATACCTTATTTACATAAGTATTCAGATTGCTATGGGACTCGAAATTGAGCTCAGGTGCATCCTATTTCCATTGATCATCCTTGAGATGTTTCTACAACTTGATTGGAGTCCACCTGTGGTAAATTCAATTGATTGGACATGATTTGGAAAGGCACACACCTGTCTATATAAGGTCCCACAGTTGACAGTGCATGTCAGGGCAAAAACCTAGTCATGAGGTTGAAGGAACTGTCTGTAGAGCACAGAGACAGGATTGTGTCGAGGCACAGATCTGCAGCATTGAAGGTCCCCAAGAACACAGTGGCCTCCATCATTCTAGAGCTGCCGCCCGGCCAAACTGGACAATCTGGGGAGAAGGGCCTTGGTCAGGGAGGTAACCAAGAACCCAATGGTCACTCTGATCGACCTCCAGAGTTCCTCTGTGGAGATGGGAGAACCTTCCAGAAGGATAACCATCTCTGCAACGCTCCACCAATCAGGCCTTTATGGTAGAGTGGCCAGACGGAATCCACTCCACAGTAAAAGGCACATGACAGCCCGCTTGGTGTTTGCCAAAAGGCACATAAAGGACTCTCAGACCATGAGAAACAAGGTTTTCTGGTCTGATGAAACCAAGATTGAACTCTTTGGCCTGAACGCCAAGTGTCACGTCTGGAGGAAACCTGGCACCATCCCTACGATGAAGCATGGTGGTGGCAGCATCATGCTGTGGGGATGTTTTTCAGTGGCAGGGAATGGGAGACTAGGCAGGATCGAGGGAAAGATGAATGGAGCAAAGTACAAAGAGATCCTTGATGAAAATCTGCTTGAGAGTGCTCAGGACCTCAGACTGGGGAGAAGGTTCACCTTCCAACAGGACAACAACCCTAAGCAGACAGCCAACACAATGCAGGAGTGGCTTCGGAACGAGTCTCTGAATGTCCTTGAGTGGCCCAGCCAGAGCCAGGACTTGAACCTGATCTAACATCTCTGGAGAGACCTGAAAATAGCTGTGCAGCGACGCTCCCCATCCATCCTGACAGAGCTTGAGAGGATCTGCAGAGAAGAATGGGAGAAACTCCCCAAATACAGGTGTGCCAAGCTTGTAGCGTCATACCCAAGAAGACGCAAGGCTGTAATTGCTGCCAAAGGTTCTTCAACAAAGTACTAAGTAAAGGTTCTGAATACTTATGTAAATGTTATATTTCCGTTTTTTTATAAACGTGCAAAAATGTCTAAACCTGTTTTTTTGCTTTGTCATTATGAGGTATTGTGTGTTTATTGATGAGGGGGTAAAAAAACTATTTAATCAATTTTAGAATAAGTCTAATGTTACAAAATGTGGAAAAAGTCAAGGGGTCTGAATACTTTCTGAATGCACTGCATGTTTTGAGGGAGCGTGCAATTGGCATGCTGACTGCAGGAATGTCCTCCAGAGAATATAATGTTCATTTCTCTAGCATTCATTTTAGAGAATTTTAGCAGTACGTCCAACCGGCCTCACAACCGCAGACAACGTGTGACCACGCCAGCCCACCACATCTGGCTTTTTCACCTGCGGGATCGTCTGAGAGCAGCCACCCGGACAAGTGTCAGAAACCGTATCAGTTAAGCTCATCTGCGTGCTTGTCGGCTTCACAAGGGTCTTTACCTGACTGCGGTTCGGCATCGTAACCGACTTCAGTGGGAAAATGCTCACCTTTGGTGGCCACTGGCACGCTGGAGAAGTGTGGTTTTTACGGATGAATCCCGGTTTCAACTGTACCGAGCAGATTGCAGTGGGCATTGTGTGGGCGAGCGGTTTGCTGATGTCAACGTTGTGAACAGTATGCAACATGGTGGCGCTGGTGTTATGGTATGGGCAGGCATAAGCTACGGACAATGAATGCAAATAGATTGTCGAGCCATTCATCCGCCGCCATCACCATGTTTCAGCATGATAATGCACAGCCCCATGTCGCAAGGATCTGTAAACAATTCCTGGAGGCTGAAAAATGTCCCAGTTCTTCCTTGGCCTGCATACTCAGATATGTCACCCATTGAGCATGTTTGGGATGCTCGGGATCGAGATGTATGACAGCGTGTTCCAGTTCCCGCCAATATCCAGCAACTTCGCACAGCCATTGAAGAGGAGTGGGACAACATTCCACAGGCCACAATCAACAGCCTGATCAACTCTATGCGAAGGAGATGTCACACTGCATGAGGCAAATGGTGGTCACACCAGATAATGACTGGTTTTCTGATCCACGCCCCTACCTCTTTTTTAAGGTATCTGTGACCAACAAATGCTTATCTGTATTCCCAGTCATGTGAAATCCATAGATTAGGGCCTAATGAATTTATTCCAATTGACTGATTTCCTTATATGAACTGTAACTCAGTAAAGTCTTTGAAATTGTTGCATGTTGCGTTTTAAAGTTTTGTTCAGTGTATAAACCAATCAAGGTAGCCGCTGAAAATATTCTTCCACTTCAAGAAGTAATTTACTAAAATAGTCTGAGCGTCATGTGTCTCACCCGACAGCATGAGGTTGGCGCCTGAAACGGATTATTTGAATCTACAGTAGGCATAAGCTGTAACTGTAAAGAAATACAGTATGTTAGGTACATTTTTACAGCAGGCTTCCAATTAGTTTACAGTATTTTTTTCAGCTTTTTACCCATAATACAGTGCAATCTACAGCATGCATGCTGTGAAACAGTTACTGTTGAAATTACAGGAAAGTCTTAGTGTAGGTGAGTTACTAAACTTTCTAGAGCAGCTAGGTTAGCTACTGAACATACTAGGACAGCTAGGTGAGTTACTGAACCTACCAAGACAATTAGGTGAGTTACTGAACCTACTAGGACAGCTAGGTGAGAGAGGCTTGTTGTGCACTATGAAGGGAATATGGTGGTGCCATTTCTGACATTGCCTGGGGAGACAATCTGCTAGTAGGGCTGGGAATTGCCAGGGACTTCACGTTATGATATTATCACGATACTTATGTGCCGAGACGATATGTATTGCAATTCTCACTATTCTATATGTATTGCAATTCGATGTTCCAATCATATTGCTCACTATGTCTGCTGCAGAGAGACGAGAAAGCATGATAAAATAAGTTTTGATCAGTCATTGAGATAAAAGTGCTGGAAACATGTTGGCTCACTATTTGAGAACAGGCTAAAGGATGAAAAATACCGGAGTTTGGATGCAAGTACAGCCTACTACCGCTTGCTAACACTACCTAGCAATCAAATATCTATAGAATATCCCGATACGTTACTGTATCGATTTTATTCCCCATCACTATCTAGCAGATGAGGGATGAGGACCCATACGGCCAGTTGCAGTTACGTTGGGCTCTGAAAACTGGCCTATGGCGGGACTGTGGGAGAGAGGGGGAGGGAGGGAGGGAGGAGAGAAGTTTTATTAAGTGTTTTTGTCCATCTCCCTTTCAAACAGGTGGCTGTGTCCTTATCCTCAGTAGGAATTTTGTCCAGTATGCTTGCTTTGCATTATTTGGAATCCTTGCTTTACAGGTAAGTCTAAACTTGTTTTTCTTAATCGTATATGGCCTGAATACAGTGGAAGATTAAGCATAAAGAAACCATGCATGATACTATATTCTGTTTATAATAATCTTCATAGCTAATTAAATACCTAAGGGAAACCAGAGTCTCACTAAATCTTCTTACCATTTCAGACTATTGCCTACAGCATTTTATGGGATCTTAAATTCTTGATGAGGTGAGTCCTTTGTTTGTCTTTTTCATTTGAACCAATGAGAGCCAAGTTAGTGATCATAAGTCTTTAAACATTCCTTCCGTGAAGCACAGATCAGAGCCACACCCCTCAGCGAATGATACATCTCTCAGTGCAAAACTGCAAATACACTGCTGAACTATTTCTCTCTCTCTGCCTCCTCCTTTCCCTCTCCAGGAACCTGGCCCTGGGCGGGGGGCTCCTGCTGTTGCTAGCCGAGTCGCGCGGGGAGGGGAAGAGCATGTTTGCTGGGGTGCCGTCCATGGGAGAGCACTCGCCCAAGCAGTACATGCAGCTGGGAGGACGGGTTCTCCTGGTGCTCATGTTCATGACCCTGCTGCACTTTGACCCCAGCTTAATCTCTGTGAGTTCTGAGCTCTAGCAGATTTGGGTTCAAATCGCATTTGTTCTCTACTTTTGATTAAGCATTTGATCGAGCCTGCCCGGATGAGGGTGTTTTTTTTGTTCTTTTGGGACTATTCCATTGGTTTCATTGCGAGCTCAATCAACCACCTCATGTATTTGAAAAAACATTTGATACTATTTGAACCCAGGTCTAACCTGTCTGTCAGGCAGTCAGCTTGCGGCTGGCTGCACAGATGCATACCATTAGTGTAGTTGCAGTGTATTGGCGCTGAAATGCATCTTTACATCATAATTCAAGAGATGGGTACAGGGGATGTAGTGTAGGTACATATTGTCACATAGTACTACAACTGTTATACATGAAAAACATTTGGGAGTGTTATCATATCCAGTGCATTTTACGAAAGTCAATAGGGATTCAGGCACATAGTCTTTGTCCCAAATGGCACCGCATTCCCTATATATTGAAATACTTTTGACTAGGGGGGCCCTGGTCAATAGTAGTGCACTATATAAAGTAAAGGGTGCCATTTGGGACGCAGCCATATCAACATGCTTCTGTAATCCTAGCACGAGTTGGAATGAACACTGACTGCTGTCCTTACTGTATACCTACCCCTCATTTTAGATTCTGCAGAACCTGGTGGGCACAGCTCTGATCGTGCTGGTGGCAATCGGCTTCAAGACCAAGCTGGCTGCCCTCACCCTGGTGCTGTGGCTGTTTGCAGTCAACGTATACTTCAATGCCTTCTGGACGGTGCCCACCTACAAGCCCATGCACGACTTCCTCAAGTATGATTTCTTCCAGACCATGTCGGTGATCGGTGGGCTGCTGCTGATTGTTGCACTGGGGCCTGGCGGGGTGTCCATGGACGAGAAGAAGAAGTTGTGGTGAGACTCGACCCAAGTTACCAGGAACGGGACCCCCCCCCCCATGGCCTAAGCAGTACGCACCTCCTCCCTCCCCTCAGCACTGTTTCATTCTCCGTCTGTCGCACTCCCTCTCACTAACTTCTCCGGGACTGTCCTCCACAGGCACTTTTACAAATGTTTTGCAGTCTTTATTTTGCTACTGTAGCTCGTCGTGACATGGCCATCGCTCGATTTGGGGATATCCAAGACATCGCTTTTTTTATATATATTTTTGTTTAGTGACCAATTTTCTAGGTATTGTCTTTTAACGGTGTATTTGTACCATTTATATACTGTAATTGTTTCATGCTTCGTTTGCTATTTTTTTTGTGCATCTTTTGTCTATGCTTTCGATAATGCCAGCCCCTAACCAAAGACACAAGCCACTGTTTTAGAGGACATGTTTTACACTATTGTGTATAAATGATGGTGATTTGCTTTTGTGCTGATTTGAGAATAGATACATTACTATATTTATGGTCGGGTTTTTTCTATGAGGGGGCAAATACAGTACTTTCTATCAAATATTTTAGGTTAGGAAGGGATAAAAAAGAGTACTATTGGCAAGTCACAATTTGAAAGTTAAATGAAAAAGCATGATAGCTGCTTTTTTTTGTATTTGTCTTAGTAGTTCTATTTGTGTGCCTATTCAAATGCCTTGTAGACTCCCATGAACACCTCAGGCCTATCCATCTCATGTACAGACATTTTCACATGAGGGGATTTCTATTCTGTTCTTTATTTTGTCACAAGTATAATGATTCCTCATTGCCTGTTAAACTATTCCATATGACAAATGTGAGTGCTGTCAGTTGAGTCCAACGTTTACAATTGGTTAATTATAGTATTCTATGTCATCCAGCACAACAGGGCCATTTAGCTTTATCATTGGTCTCACTGTGTTCTTCCATTTTAAAAAAAATAATGATTTTCTATTGTTTTTTGTTTATAAATTATAAACAAAAGAATAAACTCTGTGTTTATTATGGCTAAATGTGTAGATTGGCTGTGTTTCCGTGCAATTCTTTTCCACCATGAATCTCAAGGCTCCCATGATAACAGGAAATAATTGACATTTTGAGGGCAATCTAAAAGTATGATTTTTCACTGCCCTCAAACTCATGACTGCTAGATATTCCACTATTCAGTTTCATGATAGGTGAATTGAACATCTTGTTAGTTGAATCAAATATTTCAAATGCACTATAAAGACCTGAGTTGATAACCGCATACATGTTACATTTTTATTCTAGTTCAAACCATAATCTTTTTTTAAATTTGTAGCTCAACTGTTATAATCTTTTAGTTGTGCCATCTAGTGGATAAATCTGAGAAGTTAGGGCCACAGTGGTTTTATTGGCATAACTGAGTAGCCTGAGTCCTCCCACTGACTCAATACTAGCAATCAGCAGTTCCTGTCAACGCGGACCCTGAGGAACACTGCGGAAGAGACCATGAGGGGGCATCAGTCTAGGTCGGTGACCTCCTCCCAGGCTCAGTCTCTTTGTCATCACCTTTCAAGAAGGAGTCCGTTTTGTGGTCCAGTAGCGTACACAAGGCTGCTTCACCATGATCGACTGACCTGACGACGTCACCTTTTCTGAACTGACAGCTTCTCTTGGCACCAGGCAGATGAGGCGGGCGTTGTGTGGCCTGTTGAACTCCACTATAGCAATGCCGTGCCATACCAGCCCTTGTGCTGAAACAGAGGGCTAAACAGGTTGACTGCTGGAGCTGAGCGAAAGGGTTTCGGCAGGAGCTCCCATAGGGCCGCATTCCCCACCCAGAAGCTGAGGGGCTGCCTTTCACCCAGGTAATACTACAGCATGGCCAGCATGTCGTGGAACCTCTCCACCAAGTAGGCCCAGTCCTGGGGCTCACCGCGCACCTGCAGCAGGTGTAACAGTACCGTCTTCAGGTGGTAGGAGCTCAGGAAGATGACCACCCAAGTGGCGAAGGGAGATAAGATAATGTCTTTATTATCCCCATGGGGTCATTGTCTGTGTTTTTATGTAGAGCCGCAACCAAGATAAAGGACATATACAGGTAGAAAGTGCAGTTCTTGAGCAATCAATACACTTTATACACTATACACAACAGAACACTGACAACTACTATGTTCGCTGTAAGTCAGGAGCCTTGTTACTGCTGGGACAAAGGATCGTTCTGCCCTGTAACGTCTCCCCTAGCGGAATAGCTCAAACTTCTGATAAAGAGAATGTCTGAGGTCCATCATTTATTTGCCAGCTTTTGGGAAGGCTCTTATATCATAAATGACCACCAGACCTGTCTGCTTGAACCCTAGCACCTTACTAGCAGAGCTAACAATTTTTCTTAACATATTTCTCTGAGACAGTATTTCCGTACCAGCAGATGATACAATATGTTAAGACACTTTCAATGAATGACTTGTAAAACAGTGACAATAGAACACGATCAACATTAAAAAGTATAGCCTTTGCTGTGCTTGCTTATAAATCTGTTCAGTGCATTCTCCCCACTGTAGCTTGTGGTCAAGTACAACACAAGTATTTATACTCCTCCACTACCTCTGTCTTGTCCCTTGTCAGTGGGGAAGGTGTTAAATTTTTCCTGAAGTCTATCCCTCTTTGGTCTTTTTTGTGTTGAGCACTAACTTCAAAAAGTCCTCCAAGACTGGCCCGTGCTTCTCATCCTGGAGTAGACTGACCAGTGCTGAGCCTGTGTCCTCTGCAAACTTTACCAGGTGTCTACCAGGATAGGAGCTTTTACAAGATGTACAACAGTGGAGAAAGCACACAGCCTTGAGGAGATCCCATGCTAGTGGCGCGCTTGTTCGACATCCACTGTCCCACCTTGACCTGCTGTGTCCTATTGCTAAGGAAATCAAGGATCCACAGCACCAAGCCTCCATCCAATGAGAAATTGTCTATCAGCCTCTGGGCCAAGGTGGAGGGCTGGATAGCGGCCGGTATAGAAAGGACAGGATCTCCAGGCACAGTGTGTGACGTTGCACAGGAAGAAGTCCTCGCCAGTACTCCGCTTCGGGCCACCACGCACATGTCTGAGTCGGGCACGCGCACAGCCGGCACTACGTTGATGTGCAGGGCCACTCTCTGCCCCAAAAGCTGAACTTCACTCCCACCCTGAACACCCAGGCCCGTCGGAGTGCCGCCCCCAGCCAGCTGAGCAGCCGCACAGGCTCCATATACTGGTTGAGCATCAGGCACTCCTCCAGCATATAGTAGACCCTCCTTGATCCGCTGCACCTGCATGCGCTCCACGAAGTCTGAGAGCAGGCTCAAGCTGGTCTCGGAGCATTTCATATTATTCAGTACGTAAATCCAAGACACTCAATTTAGGATGATATGTTATGTTTCGTATGGTATGTATTAATTTGTGGATGTCCATCACCTATTTCATATATGTTACGAATGACAATTCGTATTATATGTTACGAATTTTCTAAACGTACAATATGTTACGAATTCTAGCTGACTGGCTAACGTTAGCTAGGCTACGGGTTAGGGTTAAGTTTAGGAATTTGGTTAAAGGGATACGGTTAGGGTTGGGGGAAGGGCTAGCTAAAAGGGTTAGGATTAGCTAACATGCTAAGTAGATGCAAAGTAGATAAAAAGTAGTAAGTAGTTGAACAATTTCTAAAAGGCTAAAGTTGTCCATGACGAGCTTCGAACTTACAACCTTTGGGTTGCTAGACATTTACGTTATATGCCCACCCATCCACCCATGCCTTAAGTATCTGTCTTAACCATACCAAACATAACACATACTAATTTGAGCGTTGCGGATTTACGTTTATTATGTTATGTCTAGTCTATGAGACTAGGCTGGGGAGCTGGCCTCGGTCTAGGTGGGTATAATGTCTGCAGAAACCAACAGGGGAGTTCATGATAACGATGACATCATTCACAGGTACCTGGTCCCCCCAGCTGATACCCCAGCCCTCAAACATACCACCCACACCCCTCCCCTGCAGTACTACCTGGCAAAAGCTTCCGAAAGTCTGCACCCTATTGAGCAATGAGTCAATCAACCCAGTGACCATTACATTAGTTATTTGGAGGGTCTCTTCGCCCTTTATACATCTGGGTTGCAAAGAAATCCTGGATCTCTAAATGAGACAATTCCTCATCTTGCTCTACATCAGTCTCTGACCATCCCACAGGGAGCCCAGCTGCATTTGATTCTTGGAAAAAATGATATTTCACTTTCCGTTTCATCCATTTCTATCTCTTTTTCCTCCTTCTCGTCCATTGCTTTCCACTTCCGCTTTTTTTCTTCTTCTCAGAGCACATGAAATCATACTCTAGAATCCCAATGCCGCATACAAGCAACCACTCCCAAGGTCCCTCATTCACCAGAGCTGCGATCCATCCTCCTATCAGCAAGAGGGAAGACAAGTGGCGAGAACGCATCCTATACGTGCAAGATGAAACTGTCTCTAAATAGTACTGTACATGTTTTATTATTCCATGCCTCACCATTAATTTAATTATTGTCAAATATTAACAAAGGGCTTTCCATTCGGTTATGATATTAACATTAAGTCATCATTATTATTATTGCAACCAACCATTTTTTGGTACAGTTATATTGTTTACAAACAAGCTTATATTTTACATTGCATCCTATTCTAACTCTTTTAATCAATGGCATCAACATATTGCAAAACCAATTAACCGACTAATCAACAGACTTGCAAAACCAAAGAATAAATATGTACAAAAGCCACAGATTTGGAAAAACAGTATCTTCTACTATGTCAAAATTGTGCATGGTATGTACATTTAGTATAGTTTTTCAACCAATCCTGTGCATTTTTGTTGAAAATTGAAAATATTGAAACTACTGAAAACTGAAACAAACAAATGGATCAATCCCGCTTTTCAAGCCTGCAGAAGGCGTGTGGTGGTGGCATGGTAAACCCGGCTCTACTATGGTCATGCTTGAGGTGGTCTCCCACAGCTCTGCGTATGT